TACACACGTTATTGCTGTTGTATCGAACGCTTTTGATCCTTGTTTATGAATTTATATGTTCCAATTTTTTATAAATTCTTGTTATACTAAAATAATATACAATATAAAAAACAGACAAAGTTCTCGTATAATACGTGCTTCTGTTTTTCTTAAGAAAGTAGTCCAAAAATATTAACATTTTTAACCTATGGTAAGAATGGTCAGGCAGTATAATGATTTGGCTAAATGTCACGGTGACCTTGATATCTTTGATCCTAGACTCAGGAGATTTGTCAGATGTGTGAAGGATATCCTATTTAACAATGGCTAGTTATCAATATTTGTAATTTTATTTTCAGTACCCAAAGCTATGTATGTACATTATATGGATTTGCTGAGTGCACATACCATTTAGATTGCAATCCAGATTAGATCTAGGTACTACTTGTATGATTTAGCTAATACGTACTATAATTATTGTAAATTGTCTTGTGCATCAATAATAAAAAAAAAGTATACATTCTCATGTTTAACTGTGTGTTTAAAAAGCTCAGAATACATACCTAAAAAACCATGCGATTCTCATTTCATTCATTTTGATTCTCATTCGCATAATTATAATTTCTAAAGAGGAAAATAAGCTATATGGTGTTATTCCGTAATTTGGAATTGTTGAAGCCATACCTTCGAACTTCAGCTTACATTTTTGCGTCGTATTCATGGAATTTCAAACAATTACCGCATACCAAATATGCACCTTGATCTCGGCCATCGTTTGTTTCAATGCAAAATTAACTTTATCGTATCGTTCATAAACACTAAAATTACTAAACACGTGTGACGTTTTCGATTCAGGTTTAACGAAACTCGCACGTAACTAATGCATGCTGACCGACCAACTCGAAACTAACACGCTATGGCGAATCCGAACGATAAACGCTTCTTCCAGCTGGTGAGTTTTATTTCAAATTACTAACATTCTGTTTCAGGAACTAACCGTCATTTCACGAAGTATTCTATTTTCATGATTCCTTAATCAAGTTACTCGGGGTCGGGGTTAATATATGTTGTCTCTGTCAAAGTAATTTTATTCTACACTAGCGGCGCGCTCCGACTTCGCTCGGGTCTTTAACAAAAATTTCAACGATATTTGACGTTGTTTTATTTAAAAAAATAAAAGAACACTTATTGCGGCATAACTATAATAGTTAAACATAAGCTGTCGCGACACTTCTTGTAAATAATGTTTTCTACAAAGTCGTAGTACATTATTTTATTCTATCATCAATAGTTTTCGCAGGGCACGTGATGTAAAGAATATTTTAGGTATTTTTTTACACCTCGGGTCACATTATTGGAGTTTTAGTAAGGATCCCTAATTTTTTCTAAAAACATTATAGTCTATGTCACTCGGGAATAGTGTAGCTTCCAAACAGTAAAAGAATTTTTCAAATCGGTTCAGTAGTTTCAGAGCCTATTCAATACAAACAAACAAACAAATCCTTCCTCTTTATAATATTAGTATAGATATAGACAAACTCTTCAAACACAACCACAATTTCTCATATCATCATTCACATGATCAAGTATCTTGTGTTCATCGACTTTGAATCTTAACATTTGTGTTGTAATAAATACATTTGTCGCGCCTCATCCACTTTCTTACACAATAATAGTCTTAAAAGACACCCGTTTTAAAATTAATGACATTTAAAACAAACTGAACTTAGTTAATTCAACACATGTGTCGTGCGAAGGTCGGTTAGTGCAATGTAAAATTTCAGACGTAACTGTATTGTAACTTCACGTATAAATAATGTACAATCAAAATTAAAACGTGTATGGGTATGTGTAAAAATTAAGAATCTGCTTTGTTATAAAAATTTTAAAGTCCTTTTTTTTGGGTTTATCGATTGATTTAAGAGATTATTGTGCTCCAAATGTATTTCGCAAAGTCATTTTTGGTTAGTATATAATAGTCGTATACCAATACATTTGAGAATACGATTTCATGTATATTAGATCAGATATAGCACGCGGTTGCGCTTACGCGTAATTCTAAACATCAAATTCGATTAGAGTTACTTCTGTTAGACTTTTATAATAAACACGAGCCGACCCGGCAGACTTCGTAGTGCCTCAATCGACTAATAAAAGACCTAAGCTTTTGTATAAAATAAACTTAAAACAAACAAAAGGAACCCGTCCGACGGGGAATACACCAAAGGAAAAACAAAATTGTTATTATTATTTAATTCCGAGCACTTTCATATGTATCTACCTTTTAAACCTTCTCTGGACTTCCACAAATAATTCAAGGCCAAATCGGTCCAGCCGTTCTCGAGTTTTAGCGAGACTAACGAACAGCAATTCATTTTTATATATATAGATTATAAATCAATAGTAAACGACGTAAATATGTTTTCCTGCATGGACCTCGAGTCAAACATTCCAATAAGGAATTATGAGTCACATGCAAATGAACGCAGCCATTTCTGCTACAGTTTGAGTACCGAGAAATATCAAGATACTCCCAGTATGACTCAATATAGGTACATAAAATCAACTTTGTATTCTCTAAATTTATGATATCAATAATTTCATTGTGTTAATTCAAACATACACTTGTCGTTTGGATTTGAGCTAGTGCTCGAGATTGGTCACGTACAGCTGTGTTACAAACATTATACACACAAACAATTGTAGCCTTTTTTTTTTAAATGCCTAGATTATTAGCGGACGAGCTCAAGGACTTTTCTAAGTACCAGCACCCATTGACGTTACAATAACGCGACGGCTACACTACAACTTGCAAATATCAGGTCGAAGGCTTAAAGTTATGATGTAACTAGGGTTGCCAGACGTCCGGTATTTCCCGGGACGTCCCGTATTTTAGGCTTAGTTTAAACTGTCCCGTCGGGACTGACTCTGTCCAGTATTCGAACCGTACGATTATAATTGTGTTGATTTTTATAAATATGTTAACATACCGATAAAAATATAAAAAAAACACGTGTGGCACTCAGGGACTGCCGCGCTAAAGCCATTGCATAGCATTTTTTATCGTTATATGCAATTATAATTAGACAATAATAAAATAAGACCACGTTATATTTATAAACATTAACAAAAGCAAAACATTAGCTGTCCCCTTCACACTCATAAGCTAGACCGCGCGAGAGAGAGATGGGCAGACTTGTCACGATGCGCATGCAGTGCCATGTCACGCAGCGCGCTCACAAACACTACACAAGCGCAACGTGTGAATGTGTTGAACGCGAGCTGCATGGTAGGCGGAGTGGGGGGTGTTAGGTTTTATTTTCGATACGGAATTTCTTGATTCGGTCTCCGCGCTCAAAGCCCGCGATAAAAGCTATGCAATAGCTTAATAAAGAATGTCACTATATCATTTCGTTTTTTATTTGTCCCGGGTAAAAAACTAAATTCTCGTATTTTTTGCCTATTTAAGCATTTGCCCCTTATAGGCTGAAAAAAATCTGGCAACCCTAGATGTAACATTCTTGAAGCCGTTGAAGGAAATGTCCTACTTTTCTCGCTTGGTGCACTTAAAATTGTACTATTAAAATTTATCCTTTGCTTTGGGTGTCGTCAAATTATGCAACGGTTAAAAGTATACGGCGACAAATATAGTTGAGAATCACTGGTGTAAAGGAAGAATTAAATCACAATGTCACATTGATTTAATACGAATAACTAACTAGAGACGTCTTTCCTCGTGCCACTCTGTCTTCCTCGTTCAATAAAGACAACTGTATATTTCCTGTCCGGCGGCGTATGAATGTTAATTGTTTGTTGTGTTATGATTTAACATGTGTTTATCTCACGCAATAATAAAACAACTGAAGGATTCCGTTGAAGAGACAAGAGAGAGAAGTTATATGTCATTGACAAGAAACTTTACGTCACAAAGTGATCACTGAAAATAAATAGTGTGTTGGCGAAATCGAATCTATTTATACGTTATTTGTAAACATTTATACGTATCTATCTTGTCATATCCGAATCGCTTTGGTGGTCGATCTTTGATGTGACTTTGATCCGATCGCTACCAAGCTTCACAGAATCACCCACACCCCATAGGTCTGAATCTGAATTGATCTGCCGAATGTTTCATCGAAATCCAGCCGCTCGTTTCGAAGTCTATAGGGAGAGCACATCGACCTTTCTACGTACATAATAAACAAGCGCAAAAAAAACCGAAAATACTTATCTACGCTTATCAATATATATATTTTTATCTATCTTGATACAAACGGGTTTGTTGTATGACCGCGAATAACCCCACTTTAAATCCACTATCAAGGGCGAACAATTTAATTCTTTGTTTACAAAAAACAAATTGAATAACTATTGTATTATAATGGTGAGGAAACTGATCACTCTGAATTCACATAAATTTATTTGTTAAAAAAAAACTGTTTCATATTGCTTTGCATGTTGCGTGCATGTTGCATTGGAATATGTATTTCAATTAAAATGGCACCCAATCCTAACTATAACGAAATTTGGAAGAATGATGTGGGCGTGATGAAAAAAAAAAGTGCCGTCAACCTTTAATGATGATTATCCGGGAAAGTTGATAACTGAATCCTTGAATACTTAACGAAAACTGTAACGTTTTTTTAATGCCATTGTACGCAGATGAGCATTTCGCGCACTCACATTCGAGAAATTTCAATCAAAGAGATTCGCAAGAGATTTCAATCACAAAAGCACGAAAAACGTTGGTATAGTGACTAGTAATATTAATTTGTTACTGTGATATAACTGTGTAACGTGTGATACTGTGTAATGATACTTCTTGTTCCTAGCGTTTTCCCGGTCTTTTCCCGGCCAGGGTCCGCATTCCTACTTAACTCCTACACTTTGCCCGGTCTTCGGCATCCTTCTGGGTGAGGTTGTCCTCCTCCATATCCGCCTTTACAACAACCAACCAGCGTTCCTTGTGCCTACCGCGGGATCTTGAATATGTGTAACAAAACTGAGATATGTTATTTCAGACACTAGCCATTCAGAAGGCGATCAACACCAACGAGACACCGGTCAAAGAGAAACATGTCCGAAGCACGATCATCGGCACATTCAGAGAACAAAGCGCCATCACCTATTGGGTGAGTTCTCTTTTATAATTAACACTAGCGACCCGCACTCGCTTCGCTTTGGAAGCTAATTTATTATTTGCACGAACAGAGCAAAACATGAACTTCAGAATTGAGATTTTATAAAAGGCATTTTACTTTAAAAAAAATTTGCATTCATAATCCAAAGCGTTAGTTTCATTATTAGGTGTCGTTTTTTTTAATTGCTTAGCTGGGTGGACGAGCTCACGGTCCACCTGATTTTAAGTGGTTACCGGAGCCCATAAACATCTACAACGTAAATTCCGAAACCTATCTTGAGATATGAGCTCTAAGGTCTCAGTTTTAACATTACAACAGCCTTCCAAACCTAAACGCATTACTGCTTCACGGCAGAAATAAGCAGGGTGGTATACCTACCCGTGCGGACTCACAAGACATCCTACCACCAGTAATTCAGTTGTGAGTTGAATTGTTCTTGAGTTTAGACTTACTTTAATCACTGCATCTTAAATGTTCTGTGTATATATGTTCTTAAAAAATTACGTAAATTTTACCCAAAAACAGAGTTTTCAATAGAACGTGTACATGATGAACCCAATCAAAATTGTGATAATCGCTTAATATTTCCACACTTGTGTATTGTTATCGTTTTTTAATATGTTTTTTTAATACTATGTTTCCGTCCACGGATGTTTTTGGACAGATGGTCGCCGTCCGACTTCCGATCCAGGATAATCGGATCGTGGCGTGGAAGTTCTGTCACGTGACCCATAAACTGCTGCGCGAGGGTCACCCGGCGTGCCTTGACGATTCGCAGAGGCACATCTCCATGATCGAAAACCTCGGCAAGCTCTGGGTATGTACCGCGTTCTTACTTACACTTTTTATTTATTATTGCTTAGATGGGTGGACGAGCTCACAGCCCACCTGATGTTAAGTGGTTACTGGAGCCCATAGACATCTACAACGTAAATGCGCCACCCACCTTGAGATATAAGTTCTAAGGTCTCAGTATAGTTACAAGTTACAACGGCTGCCCTGCCCTTCAAACCGAAACGCATTACTGCTTCACGGCAGATATAGGCAGGGCGGTGGTACCTACCTGTGCGGACTCAAGAGGTCTTACCACCAGTACTCACGTAGATTCAACATAGAAATTTGAATACACTCAAATTTAATATCAATAATGAAATGAAACACTTTACGCATATCGTCTAATACATCTTTGTACTTTTACGCAAATTAAACACATAATTTAGGCAACTTTATGTAAATTGTTGTGAGCAAATAGAGAGTAATGTTATAGTGTATAGTTTGAATGGTGGTCATATTTTTAATAGTCATTACACATGTTATACATGTTACACAAATAAGGTGAAAGAAGCTTGGACCATTCAGGAAACGCGATTAGCGTCTGAATCGCCAAGAGGTGGTCTGGCTATGAATGCTGGAGCAATTGTAGATAATGATTTAGTTAAAAAGACCTAATTTTGTTTTTATTCTATTTAATATCGGAGGCTTCATCGCCTATTCGAAATACTATGATGGCGGGGAAATGTATTCTTAACAGATTCCTCCTAATTACATGAATTGACTACGCGTTCAATTACGCGGTATTGTTATTATATTTGCTATGAAGAGATTCAAATATTGAAGATCGCGAAATGTCCGGTCCCCAGGTGCATCTTCGTGAAGGCTACGGCAAGCTGGTGCATCTGTACTGCAACTTGCTGGTATGCAAGTTGAAGTTCCACGCGAGAAATCCTCGTTTCCCAGGGAACATGCAGCTAACGGCGGACGAACTGGACGCGATCGCCGAGAACGACGTCAACAACTAGTGAGCTGACACGACTTTCATTAACATAAAATAGAGCTTCGAAATAGCCTAAGTGAATATCGCAATAAAAATGTTTGAATTTAATCAAGGTAATTTTTTTTATTGCCCTTGTAGGCAGACGAGCATACGGCCCACCTGATGGTGAGTGGTTACCGTCGCTTATGGACTTCAGCAATGCCAGGGGCAGAGCCAAGCCGCTGCCTACCGCTTAATACTCTCCACAAGCCTCGTTTGAAGAAGGACATGTCATAGCGCTCAGGAAACACCGTGGAGGGGAGCTCATTCCATAGCCGTTTGGTACGTGGCAAAAAAGACCTCTGGAAACGCACTGTGTATGACCGCAGTAGCTCCAGGTAGTATGGATGAACTCTACTCCGGTGGCGGGCGGTGCGATGGTAAATACGAGATGCCGGTATCATTTCGAACAATTCTTCAGAGCACTCCCCATGGGACATACGGTACAAATATACAGAGGGAACCGAAGACCCTCCGCAAACCCAGAGGTTCCAAACGATCCGTGAGAATGGGATTATCGACAATACGAACGGCCCTGCGGTAGGTATCATGCGATAGGTTCGATGACCTGTCGTGAGATGACAAGTATTACATCTACCCTCAAAAAAAAGAATCCTTCATTTCGTTCGTTCATGGAATTGTTCTAATTCATAACCACTATAACTCACGGTTTGACCTATGTAAGTTTTTTTTGTTAAGCGCTGTCACTTTTTGTGAAATCGTATCGAATGTAAATTCGTTTTTCTTTTTTTTACAGTTTCCAGTTATGCGTAGAGCTGTTCGACTACATGGACGAAATTCTAAATTTACAAGCAGCAGGTCAGTGTAATATAAATATAAAATAATAATAATTAAAATATGTTATAAAATAATAACCTAAGCTCCGACCGGTAGGTACAAGCTATTTTACTTAAGTTAGTTAAGTTTAAAACAATTAGAAAAAAAAATATCTCCCTCTCTACGAGATATAGTAACGTAACGAGTTGATGTGACGTCAGGTCGGCAACCGGCCATAATTTTGCCAAATTCTGATTTGACTCAGCATGAGAAATGGACATGAGGACCCCCCCTAATGTGGGACAAGGACAAGAAGAAGAATGTCTTTTAATGTGTAATACATTTTATCAGGTTGTGTGACGGTGTGACCCCCCCTAATGTGGGACAAGGACAAGAAGAAGAATGTCTTCTAATGTACATTTTGCGAGTGAAGGCTGTGTGTGGTTGTGACTCTCCCTAATGTGGGACAAGGGCAAGAATGTCTTATAATGTACATTTTACCAGTACAGGTTGTGTGAGGGTGTGACTCCCCCTAATGTGGGACAAGGACAAGTACAAAAATGTTTTTCTATTTTTAAATGTACATTTAGCTAGTCCGGGTTGTGTGAGAGAGTGACGTCATCAGTAATATCTCGGCGGTTTGACAGTGTTCGACAGCCTGGGCAACGCTCGGGCCAACTCGATGACCGCGAGCGGCCAGTGCCGGCTGGCGGCGCTCATCCCGTGCGCGCAGGACGCGTCGCAGCTGTACGACTGCAACGTGCGCCTGCTGTTCCGGCTGCACGCCGCGCTGCCCGCCGACACGCTGCTCGGACACCGCGAGAGGTACATCCACCAGCGCCCGAGAGAATCACGACATTTTCACGTAGACCGACAACAAAGTGCGAAAGTCCCATTAGAACCCCCCATTATTTTTGAAGTTAAACTTCTTTTTTTTTTACTTAATTTTTTTTCAATCAAGAATTGTGTACCGATAGAGATATAGTTCAGCAAATTTTTTATTAGTGCCTAAACGGTCTCAGTTATTTTTAATCCAACTTAAATATCTAATAGAACTTAGAGGTGTCGAGGATTGTTTTTTTTTATATTTTTTTTGCACGAACAGAGCAAAACATGAACTACAGAATTAAATGAGGTTTTGTAAAAGGCATTTTACTTTCTAAAAATTTTGCATTCCATAATCCAAAGCGTAAGTTTCCTTATTGGGTGACGATCTTTTTTATTGCCTAGATTGATAGACGAGCTCACAGCTCACCAGGCGTTAAGTGATTGCCGGAGCCCATATACATCTACGACGTAAATGCGCCACCCACCTTGAGATATAAGTTCTAAGAACTCAGTATAGTTACAACAGCTGCCTTACCCTTCAGACCGAAACGCATTTCTGCTTCACGGCAGAAATAGGCGGGGACTACCCGCGCGGACTCACAAGAGGTCCTAACACCAGTAAAAAGGCGCGTTGACAGTAAAATTTTACTCGTGACAGATTCGTTGCGGCTTGCGAGAAAATATGCAATTTAGGAAGAACGAGAGTGAGAAAATTGACAGCGTCTCGCGAACCACTCGACAGTGGAGAGAGGGAAAGGACAAAACTAGCTAGGTCGTTTCTCTTATACACAGCATTTCCTATTACAAGAGAAATTTGATTTACGGATGAAAAATGAAGAAAACCACAATACTACATACCGCAAAAGAAGTTTAACTTCTTTCACGTGCACCAAGCTGCTCGCGCATCATTTTTTTTCTAATAACGTAATTTCAAGATTATTCTGAATAAAAATATGTATGATGTTTCAGATTCAGACAGCAGTTCAAGAAACTGAGCACGTTCTACAAGCACGCGAGTAGTCTCCAGTATTACAGGAATTTGCTGACTCTGCCGGTGTTGCCATCTAATCCACCTAATTTTCTACTCCAGGTTACTATTACTACTATTATCAAACAGCTTATTTGTTTCTATTTAGATGTCTTGTTTAAAACTGATTTGAAAGCATGCCAGTTACAAAGTTTTATGTCATAAATTCTACCATTTAAAATGTTGTCAGTCACAAAAGGCAGTCAAAGTTTTCAACCTTAATTAAGTAATGTATAACGTGATTCTGATCGTCTTTTTGGGGTGATTTCTGATGATGATCTGTGCAGAACCAAACCAGCAAACCGGGTCAGTCATTATTGCGTCAGCATTTCCCTACAGTCTTATATAAAAACAAAATTAGTAATATATCGAGGAGTGAAAGGCTAATTTCGTTTAGCCTACATTTCGCTTAATACTCGACATTTATCATTGCATTTAAAGGAGCGTTTTATTTGGTATTAGCCTCAATAATTCTATTTAAAAAAAATTGAACTTCAATCAAGTTTACTTCATTTAAATAGCTTAAAAAGTTTTTTTGTGATTAAATTTTTGAACATTAAATGGCGAAACAGCTTTACACTCATCGATATGATTTTGAAATTTCCTGTTTTCGTTTCGTAATGTGTAAGTCGTCATGCTATTACTCGACCGAGTCACTGTCTCGTGTTGAAAGCGATCCGACGTTAATAAAGTTGATTTGTGGATAGAGCGAGTTCGGCACGTACGTGACGCCGGTGGTGTCGGTGCCGGAGCCGCCGCCGGACGAGCCGGACGCGGTCGGCGCGCTCGTCGACACGTCCGACGCACTCAGCCAGGTACGACCGACTAGTGATCTACACTACTTAGTATCTAACACACGCTATTTCTGCCGTGAAGCAGCAATGCGTTTCGGTTTGAAGGGTGGGGCAGCCGTTGTAACTATACTGAGACCTTAGAACTTATATCTCAAGGTGGGTGGCGCATTTACGTTGTAGATGTCTATGGGCTCCAGTAACCACTTAACACTAGTTGGGCCGTGAATTCGTCCACTCCTCTAATCCAATAGGAGCGTATTAAAAACGCAGTTACCGAAATATGTTTTAAATTGACCACCAACAGTCCACATCGGATCAGTTCGAGGAGTTTGAGAGTCGTCCGTCGGCGTCCCCGCAGCCCGACCCCGTCGTGGAGCGGGACCGGCTCATCGACCATCTGCAGAACGAACTTAAAAGAATGAGGTACAGTAGATTGGGGGGAATTGAGAGGCCTTCCAAATCCAACACAAATTTTCAGCGGTTCTTCTCAGGGTAATAATACCAATAAAATTGAGATTAAAATTGACCCGGCTGACTTCGTAGTGCCTCAATAAATAAATAAAAGACCTAAACTTTTGTATAAAATAAACTTAAAACAAACAAAAAGAATCCGTCCGACGGGGGACACATCAAAGGAAAAACAAAATTGTTATTTTTATTTAATTCCGAGCATTTTCATATTTATCTACCCTTTAAAACTTCTCTGGACTTCACAAATAATTCAAGATTTAAATTAGCCAAATTGGTCCAGTACATTCTCGAATTTTAGCGAGACTAACGAATAGCATTTCATTTTTATATATATAGATAGGTACATCATTATACTTAGTTCATTGAAAAATATACACAAAAACCTAAAAGACTAGCTTGACCCGATTCACCTTGGCTTTTGAGGTGAATCGGGTCACGTATGCGGACAATAGTTTTTCGATAGGGCTGGCATTGTTTAGTTGTTAGGTAGGTACTTACCTTTAGGTAATTAACTTTTCAATATCGGAAATAATTTTTACGGTATATGGCTTAATATCGCGTTTTTTTGTTGTGATTGGGGGAAATTCAAGTCAGGCCTTATAGTCAGGAAATAAAAAATAAACGACTAATTTCAAATACTAGTTTATTCCTTAATAAAATATCATCAGTAAATGTGAGATGTCATTCAAAGAACACTGCCCCCCATTTTTACGGTGAATCCCCTAGTTGCCTCATACGTCACTCACGAGAAGAGATATCATAATTCCGAACTCTGATTTAACAACTATTATTTTGATACCAACACTAAAATAGCGATTAAGTTAAATCCCTCTCTATTCGTCTTCCAGGACCGAAGTATCACAATTGGTGCAAGAAAGGAATTCAATGCTCGGCTCGATGAGGGAACATTGTACACGTTTGGAAACTCAACTGCAGTCCGCTAAAGTGAGTACTTAACTTGTAAACTCTTTAAACATTTACGGTAAATTGTTTAATGATATTGTCTTATAGAATTAGCCCTTTTAGAGCTGAGTTTATTTTCACATATTTTGCGGAAATTGTTGAAGGATTTTTGAAAATAAAAGTACCTTATCCCCTCAAATGTGAACTTGAGAAAAAGACAATGGTAAAGAATAATAACTTGAAAAAAATACAAAACTCAATGCTAAATTCACAGGAAAATAATTTTAAATAGTTATAAATGTTATTAACTGATTAAAAATTCGCGCTAAGACACGTCCGCACAGGTCGATACCTAATACCTATAATCAAAATGCGCAATAATCGATATTCCGACGACCCGCACTATACGAATTAATAGATAGTCGACTTAACAAAGCTTCGCGCTTATAGGACTAAAAAAAATTACGATTTAATCTCGCGTGTCAGATCATGAAAACTGTAAAATATTCGAGATATGGGATGTTATAATGACAGTAAAAAACGCAATATTAAATCGCAGAAGTAGTTTTAACTATGCTTACAACTCACGCCATCGGAACAAAATTATGTTATTATTTATTCAGAAAAAAAAGTAGCACTAGACTCAGAATAGACACCCCGGCAAAGTCGCACGATCTCACCAGGGAGTTAGACCCCTTAGTTAGAACGGGCTGCGATTGCTCCTAATATGAATACAAGTAATGTTGCACCAGATTAAAGTTGTGTACCATCTTGGTTTTGCAGGCTGAGTTGGAAGATGAGAAACAGAGGGCCGTGGCTTTGTCTGCTGAGACCCCAGAAATTAAACGTATGTATGAAATGTAATAATCGATATTGTAAACAATTGCTTCTTAGCCAACATTTCCTAGTGGTAGGAGGTGTTGTGAGTCCGCACGGGTAGGTACCACCACCCTGCCTGTTTCTGCCGTGAAGCAGTAATGTGTTTCGGTTTGAAGGCTGGGGTAACCGTTGTACTGTAAAAACTGAGTTGTACTCATGTCTCAAGGTGGGTGGCGGTATTTACGTTGTAGATGTCTATGGACTCCGGTAATCACTTAAGGTGAACCCCGAGCTCGTTCACACATCTAAGCAATTAAAAAAAAGTCACCTAATAATGAAACTTACGCTTTGAATTGTGTGCAAAAATTTTAGAAGTAAAATGCCTTTTATAAAATCTCGTTTAATTCTGAAGTTCATGTTTTGCTCTGTTCGTGTAAAAGCAGAGAAATAATTGAAGTGTAATTTTAATCTGTTTATAGAGAAACTAGTTCAAACAGAAGAGATGGCTAAAACGATCGACGAAAAGTTCCAGAAACTTAAAGGGGCGTACACACAACTACGGGAAGAACACATCGTTCTGATTAGAAAAGTGAGTCGTCTCGAATATATCTTTACAGCGGCCAAAAAGGCGATCGAAAAATCTATCTAAAAAAAATCATCTGTCCATTATTAATATTTAAATAATTATGATTTCTCGTGTCTAATTCATAAAAAATTTAACCTGTTCTAGAAAGCCGAAGTAGACAAAATGGCCGCCAATTTACGCGCCACAGCCGCTCAGCATGAAACCGCCAAAATGTCGTTACAGCAACAACTCAACGACAGAATGAAGTAAGTATGTTTGCTGATTTTATATTTGTAAAAAGAGGTTTAACAAAAAATCCATTTTAACTTTTAAATATATCACTTTGCGTGACAAGAGATAGTCAAGTACATAAGAGTTTACATTTGTAATTATAAAATAAAACGATAAGTACGAGTATTACATTGCTTAATTTAGCAAACAAATATTATTAATCAGTTAAATTAAAGTTATATTCAAATACAGCTATTCTTTGTCTTTCGGTCCAGGGAATTGACGACACCCTGTATGTTAATGAATAATTTAATAAATAATATTTTGTTTTAGATTAGTTATTATATTATGTTAACTTTTAAATAATTATCTTAATTCCTATTATTGTTGCTTTAGGAGCTATTTTACATCGTCGTAAAACTATTCCATCAAGTAAATTGCAGCTACACTAAACTAAAATAAGTTATTATCATATCAATCCACAAGTGATTCTTGATTTGTTTATGTTACTATACTATGAACCTTATATTATTTTATAAGTGGAAAATTAGACATAAATATTGATATATTTTTATTTATTTAGAGATGTTGAATTACTACAACAAAGTGCTTCGTCGAGTGAAGAGATTGAAGTGTACAAATCAGAAATAGCAAACCTTCGTAGCGAATTAGAACAATCTAGAGAAAAAGAGACAGAATTCCAAATCCTAAAAGCTTCCATGGAAGCTCTAGAGATTGAACATAAAACTGTTAAAACTGAACAAGAAGACAAAATCCTGACGATATCGAATGAACTCAAAGAATCTAAAGAAATTTTAGAAAAAGTAATACAAGAAAAAAATGATAAAGATACTGAATTAATTAGAGTTAAAGAAGAATTGTTAGGATTGAGAGAAAAGAGTGGAGATGAGTATAAAAAGGTAGTTGAAGAAAAAGAGGAAGCTCTTAAAAAAATCATCGAACTATCAGAAACTCATGCAAAGGAAAAAGAGGTCTGTATATTTGATTACTTTGTTTCTATGTTTAAACGAGTTATTTTCTTTGTTTAGTNTGATAAAGATACTGAATTAATTAGAGTTAAAGAAGAATTGTTAGGATTGAGAGAAAAGAGTGGAGATGAGTATAAAAAGGTAGTTGAAGAAAAAGAGGAAGCTCTTAAAAAAATCATCGAACTATCAGAAACTCATGCAAAGGAAAAAGAGGTCTGTATATTTGATTACTTTGTTTCTATGTTTAAACGAGTTATTTTCTTTGTTTAGTAGGTCTGTTAAAAATGCTTTCAGCATGAAATGTTAAAATTGATGCTTAGTATTTCTTAATATTAATGCTATGTACAGTAATGCTGCTAGTCCAAGAGAACTAGTATATGTAAATAAATATAATAAATCATTGTAAGTATGGCTTTGACTAACCTAGTTCATCTAATAATCTCGCAAAATGCATGTTCTAATTTCATTTCATTTTATTGCGTTAGGAATTAATTTTTTCGAACGCTGAATTTGTTAATCAATTACAAATGGATTTGGATAAATTGAAACAAAATTTAGCGGATGTTGAATCGAATTATTCTTTAAAATTTGAAATCCTTAATGAAGAAATGGTGAAAAAGAATTCAGAGTTTGAAAAAATTCTCAACGAGAAAGATTGTGATTTAAAAGAAGCTCTACAAAAACTTGAAGCGATAGAGAATGATTATGAAACCGTTAAAAAAATTTACAAAGAACAAGAACAAGAGAAGCAGGAACAAATAAATAAATTGTCTTTGGAAATAGAGAATTGCAAAAGAAATAATGAAATCGTTCAAGAAGTAAATAATGAGAAATTAGAACTTGCTAATCGGATATCGGATTTAGAATGTTTAGGTGAAAAAAATAACAATAAAATTGGAGAATTAAACGAAATAATACAAGAACAAAAGGAGCTAGTAGAAAGGGAGAAACAGCAGAATGAATCACTGTCGATAAGAATCAAAGAACTTGAATCAGAAAGAGAGGAACACAGTAAGAATATTGATGAATTAAATGAACAACTAAAAGATGCCTTAAGTCGGTCAGAAAAATTGAAGTTCGATTATGAAGATCAATTGAAAAGTACTAATTACAATGTAACGTTATTAAATGATAAACTTCAGAACGTAACTGGTTGCAAAGACGATTTGATAGATAGCTTGAAAAGCATGATTACCGAAAAAGATAAACAGGTTATAAACTTAAATTGTGAAGTAACCAAACTAACAGAAAATGTCACCAGACTAACTGAAGAACTAACCGAAACTCATGCTGAATTGGAGATAGGCAAGAACGAATTCTTTACTTTAAGAGAAGAATTCGAAAATATCATGGATCGCAATGAAAAAGATTTGGCCTTAAAAGATCAAGAGCTTGCCAACCTCCGGGATGAGATCAACAAAATAACCAAAAAGTCGGACAAACTTGAAAAAGAAAAAGTTGATTTACTTTCCGAATTGGATTTAGAGCGACAGGTTAGTTTCGTGTTTGTTAGAGCGTGTGGTTCTGAGTTAAAGTAAGTAATAAATAAGACTTTTTTTGTTGTTAGGCGTTAGAAAATAAAATAAAAGAACTTCAACTCGATAACCAAAGACTGCAAGCTGACTACGAAGCCATAGAGTCTGAAAAACAAAAGCTAAGCCATGAATTGACGTCACAGATTGAAAAGATCAATTCAGATTACGAAATGTTAATGAACACAAATACAAATGATAAAGTTGAATATACCGAACGTATTAATGATTTACAATTATCAAATTCGACAAAAGATGAAATCATTAATACATGTAAAGTTGACATTGAAAATTTGAAAGCGGAAATCGAAGAATTGAAACAAAATAATTTAAAAGAAAAGGATGATATCGAAGCGGTTCTGACTGAAAGAAATAAACAGAAACAGGTTAGGCATGTTTGGAGTGAAGTGTACTTGTGACGTCACGTGTATTCGCACCTCACACTGAATATCATTTACGTAGAGGTGGTGGATGCCATTAGTCTTAATTGCACATGATACGAAAACATATTTTTTTGTAGGAAACTCCATTCATTAGGGAAAATGTTCTTGGCTTAATGTGATTTTGTTTTGTTTACTAATCTTCACTAATCAATTTGTGCATGTGTGTATTGGAAAGGTTTGTCCGGGGGTTTTGCTTGACGGAATTAAAAAAAAGATTAATTTTTCTTTGAGATTTTCGCGTGTTGTAGATTGAAGTGATACGGATAAAATTATTTAAACGATTAACTCGCAAGATATATTAATTATTATGTTTTTTTATATGGCTGAGAGCTTGATATGCTAGATTTAAACGTAGTTAATACAAAAGGTAGAAAAAACAAAAAGGCTTCAAAAAAATTCACGGTCACGATTGCTACACGCACATTGCTTTCCGAAAATGTTAACTATCGGTAACAGAATAAAGTATATCATAGCTTGTTTTTTTTACCTTATTAAAATTTACGTAGGTTATTGCACTAGTTTCTTGCATGCCACAATTGCGTTACCTTAATAGTGTTTTCAGTGTTTTTTTTTTTCAAAAACCCGTTAGCATTTTTCCTTTTGGATTTGTTGCTTTAGCTATAATTCGTAGGTTAAACAACTAAGGAGTCTGCTTTTCGAAATAAAATAAAAATGCTTTTAAACATTCTCTGCTGTATCTGTGTTCGCATGACGTTAATAGCATGTTTTCTCTTTCTTCCTTCGCTGCGTTCCTACGGCTGCATGGATCTTGTCTACTTTCGGACGCCGGCTCGTCTCGTTACGTAATCTGCATGTGCGTAGTTGTCGGAGGCTAGAATAGAACACGTCGAACACATGCGATTGAACGCGGAGTGTGAATTACAGGATTTGTTACAAAACAATTCCGTACTAGAAGCGGACGTGGCGGCTTTGAAGCGGCAACTCGACGAGGCGCAAAGGGAACTTGAGAAACGTTAGTATCATTTAAATTATAGTAGTGTTATATGTTGTTGATCGCGATTCTCCATTCTATCACGAGTGATAGATAAAGCTGTCTGTTTTCGGTAATAGGATCTTTGTTATATTTGAGTTCTTATTATCGAAGTTATTAGATTTCAAAAAAATGTCGATAGTGATCGACATTATTCATTTTAGTATTTTCTTCTGTTCTCGCGAGTCGTAGATATTATTATAATTAAAACTACTTTTTACGGCTTTAATTTCGTTTTCACACGCAAAACTTGTAAAGCATTTGGAAGCGTCGTTAATAATAAAATGACAACAATTAACGCGATATCAAAACTGTAAAAGTATTTTTTAATTATACCATTCATATTTTCATAGCGTCTATGCGACCATCTTATAGTTAACATGTCCAAACATTATTGAAATCTTAAAATTAAACACTAGATTAAACTGTATAAAAGTAGCTTCAATCAATCATTTCCTGAAATCACTAAGAATTCTTTAACGTATCTAACAATTATTATGGTATTATAATTATGCGATTTCTAAATTGCATACATCCATGATCTTGAATGAGTTCTTGCACAGACATTGATGTTTACATGGGAACGTGTTACTGTATTTAATATCGGAGCGATCTCAGCGGACAGACTCTTAACCGACTTAATAATGTTAATTGTCTGTTTGAACAGAGCGTCTCGAAGCGGTGACGTGTGTCGGGGAGGCCGCTTTGGCGCTGACGAACGAAGCGTTAGCGGCCCTCGAGCGGTCCGACGCGCAGGAGTCGACCCTGCTCGCCTCGCAACTGGCCGTCGAAGCTTTCGAACAACTCGACAAATGTTCCGAGGTAGTGAAGTATTTTTTTCTCCTACCTACGCCGACAGTTCGGTTTTCCTCCCGCTGTACAGGGAAGAAAGTGTAACTTTTTCTCCTTGGGTACAAGTGCGCATGCGCGTTAGTGTCTACGTCTGCTCTCACGCACCTAAAATTCTCCGCCATTGTTATGCTCGGGTAATTTGCAATATTGTGTTTAGTGTAAAAGTGAAATAAACAAAAGGCAATAAAAATTCAAAATGAGTTCATCAGACAGTTCTTATTCAATTAGTAGTAGTTTATTTAAAAATTAAAAAACAGTTAAATTGTTTTTTTTACACGCGGGAGGAAATGTCCAACTTTACTACCGTATAAAAAAAATTGTTAAGTGTCTATAGCTTTAATATTTATCTGTAGCTTGCATTTGATATATGTAGTTCTTAAAAATTCACTTTCATAAAACAAAATACTTAATTAAAATTAGAGTTTTTACACATAGCAGGTTTTGGTTTGACAGCGACGATAATTTATTTTGAATATGGAATTATGAAGTATTTTAACTTGCAGTCCGTTTAAAAGTGTTCTTAGTGCAGGCTTGCAATGAAAATTAAATACAAACTTTATGCACAGATCAAGGGCAATGAGGAAGCTGTAATGAAATCCGCAATAAACGTGGCCCACAACACCGCGCAGCTCGCCGGCTACGTCACAGAGGTTTCCCATGTTTCCACCAGCTTGGAATTGACGGATAGTGAGTATACGTTATTAATATACTGAGTTATAGTGAGATCGTAGAAATATATCTCGAGGTGGGTGGCGCATTTACGTTGTAGATGTCTATGGACTCCAGTAACCACTTAACACCAAGTGGGCTGCGAGCTCGTCCACCCATTTAAGCAATAAAAAAAGTTTGTCGTTTGTTTGTATGACAGAACTACAGAACGAATGCCGCGCCATGCTGAGCTCGACGAGGGAGTGCCTGGAGGCGGTGCGGGGCGGGCGCGCGGCGGGCACGCGCTGCGGGGAGGCGCGCGCCCGCGTGCTCGGCGCCGCGCACGCCGCCGCCGCCGCACTGCGACCCGACGGCGCCGCGCGGACCGTCGACGACGAGCTCGACGACATGGACGCCGCCATAGAGCACGCCGCCTCGCAGATAGAGGTCAGTCGATGTACTGCACTCTTGAGAGGCATACGTATCTCACGTAATGTCTAACTTCAGTCATTACTCTAGGGTACACGTGTTTTTTTTTTATTGCTCAGATGGGTGGATGAGCGGTTACCGGAGCCCATAGACATCTACAACGCCACCACTTTGAGATGTAAGTTCTAAGGTCTCAGTNGGTGCGGGGCGGGCGCGCGGCGGGCACGCGCTGCGGGGAGGCGCGCGCCCGCGTGCTCGGCGCCGCGCACGCCGCCGCCGCCGCACTGCGACCCGACGGCGCCGCGCGGACCGTCGACGACGAGCTCGACGACATGGACGCCGCCATAGAGCACGCCGCCTCGCAGATAGAGGTCAGTCGATGTACTGCACTCTTGAGACGCATACGTATCTCACGTAATGTCTAACTTCAGTCACGTGTTGTTTTTTTTATTGCTCAGGTGGGTGGATGAGCGGCTACCGGAGCCCATAGACATCTACAACGCCACCACTTTGAGATGTAAGTTCTAAGGTCTCAGTGTAGTTACAACGGCTGCCCCGCGCTTCAAACCGAAACGCATTACTGCTTCACGGCAGAAATATGCACGGTGGTGGTACCCACCCGCGCGGACTCACAAGAGGTCCTACCACCAGTGTACCTTGAACTGATTCATCAATCTATGTAAGAGAAAAAAATGTTACGAAATATTCAGACAGAATAGAAGAGGATGATTTGTAAATGCAAATGGAGTACAAACTGAAATCTGTTGCACTAAAAGGACTTCAAAACGTGATATTAATTGCTCTGAACTTGTCAATTATAGGAATAATTAAGTATTCCGAGTAAAAATAAAATACACAGCAGCTACCTAAAGCTATATAAATAATTTTTTTCAATTTAATTAATAAAAACAATTGACCCTTCTCCCCACCCTTAGTGGTAGCTGTTATTTTAAGTTCGCTTTTATTATTTTCGTAAAGTAAAATCTTTTGACCTGTGTGTAGGTGCAACTTAAAATAAGCACAAAAAACTATGTTAATGAATTTGATGGTATATTAAAAAACGTGTATATATTATTATATTAGAAGATTTATTTGAAAGTATCCTAATGTACCTAGTACCCTATGTACAGGAAATGTTAGCGGCCAGCAGAGCCGGCGACTCCGGGGTGAAGTTAGAGGTCAACGGTAAGATCCTGGACGCTTGCACCACCCTGATGGCCGCGGTAAAGGTTCTCGTCCAAGACGCCAGACAGCTGCAAAACGAACTCGGCGATCAGCACTCCCGGCAGAAGATGTACCGGAAGAACCCGCAGTGGTCCGAAGGATTGATATCCGCGGCGAAGGCCGTAGTCTTCGCTGCCAAGTTGCTCGTGTAAGAATCTTAGACATTGTAGCAAATTTATATATAGTAATCATGACTAATTTTAATGACATTTTATTCCTGAAAACACCTTTACACCTTACACTAGCTGACCCGGCCAACATTGTTTTGACATATATAAAATTCCTAGGGAATTGGTAGTGTAGAAAAAAATAAATGTTAGGGGTGGACAAACCTTATTACTTGGGGTATGAAAAATAGATAAAAAGGAATCCGTCCGACGGGGGACACATCAAAGGAAAAACAAAATTGATATTTTTATTTAATTCCCAGAATTTTCATATTTATCCACCTTTTAAACCTCTGGACTTCCACGAATAATTCAAGACCAAAATTAGCCAAATCGGTCCAGCCGTTCTCGAGTTTTAGCGAGACTAACGAACAGCAATTCATTTATATATATATAGATATAGATAGATAATAAGTGACATCGATTGTTAAGCAAACGACGGACCACCCCAAGCGATGTTTGCTTTCGCTTCTCTTTGTGAGGTCTCACGCGCACTAAGTTTCAAGTTGTTCCACAACAGATCGTCTGCGGACGAGGCGGTGGGCGGCAGCGGGCGCATGGAGGGCGTGTCGGCGGCCGCGCACGAGGTGGCGGGCAGCACGGCGCAGCTGGTGGCGGCCTCCCGCGCCCGCGCCCCCCCGCAGACCCCCGCCCTCACCCGCCTCACGCAGGCGTCGCGCGGGGTCGCCGCCGCCACCGGCGCGCTGGTGGGCGCCGTCCGGGCCGCCTCCGCGCGACTCAACGAACAGGGTAAGCGACTTTTTTGTTTTCCTACCTATTCTAGTAACTTCGAGAGGTTATTCTAGATTTACCGAACTAGTATGTGAGCTCACGGGGCTCAAACCGGGAGTGCTGCTAACACTGGCCTTAGCAAGAGCAGTGCTTGAATCTACCACCGGATCAGAAACGTGACCCACTGAGAAGATCCGGCGAGAAACTCAGTGCGCTGTGTTTATGGTTAATGGTAATGGGTTAATTTCCTCGTCGAGCCCTTTGCCGCAGGAGACGGGTTCGGCGAGGACGGTGGCCGGGGCAAGCGACCACTGCTACACTCCTACTTATATACACGACCTACTTAACGAACGTAGCTTCTGTTATACTAATATTATAAAGAGGAAAGATTTGTTTGTTTATATTGAATAGGCTCCAATACTACTGAATCGATTTCAAAAACTCTTACTGTTTGGAAGCTACATTATTCCAGAGTTAATATTTTTTTTTGAAAAACATTAGGGATGGGATCCTTACTAAAACTCCAATAATGTAACCCAAGGTGTAAAAAAAAAAAACCTAAAATATTCTTTACATCGCGTGCCCTGCGAAAACTATTGATGATAGAATAAAATAATGTACTACGACTTTGTAAAACACATTATTATTTACAAAAAGTGTCGCAACAGCATATGTCCTATAACTATTATAGTTATGCCGCAATAAGTTTTCTTTTATTTAAAAAAAATAAAACCACGTCAAGTATCGTTGAATTTTTTTGTTAAAGACCGGAGTGGGCCGCTAGTTTGAATATAAAGACTTAAAATACATATTTTTTTACTATAAATTCAACAATCGATATTTCTCTCACATGAGTATTGTTACCATCGAAACAGAAGCTCTAGACACGTCGGCACTAACGCTGACGGCGACGCGTATCCTGGAGATGGAGAGCAAGGTGCGGTCGCTGGAGCTGGAGAGCGCGCTGGACGCGGAGCGAGCCCGCCTCGCCGCGCTGCGGAAGCGACACTACCTGCTCGCGCAACAAGAAGAGGTGACTGTACCTATATATGTTCATACGTGAAGCAAAAACTTTGGACCCCATTTTGCGTTTCGATTTGAAGGGTGAGGCAGCCGTTGTAACTATACTTGAGACCTTAGAACTTATATCTCAAGGTGGGTGGCGCATTTACGTCGTGGATGTCTATGGGCTCCAGTAACCACTTAACACCAAGTGGGCTGTGAGCTCGTCCACCCATATAAGCAATAAATAAAAATAAAAAGATTACGCAGACGGAGGAGTATGAAATTTCCCTCACCTATAGTAAATATAGAGGAGTGCAGAATGTTAATTAGTTTTTTTAAATTATGCTTAAAAATACATCAAATCAATATAAAAAAACATTACCTCTACCATGTATTTCACACAGACATTCATGCATGCATTTGTTGTCAATTTTTTCTTATTGCTTAAAATCTGTGGTCAAATAAATTAAATACTGTTTTTCTTTATTAATATTTGACTAAAGTGATGTCTTGGCGATCTCTGTGATTAAAGAAGTATAATAGTCTTTAACAATAGAATCTAATAGTGTACAAACTTATGATTTCAATTAATTATAGTCGAATTTTGACTACCAGGGGACGACTAGTATATTACCTAATTCGCCATCATTAAAAAAAATTTAAATAACGAATTTATTGAAGCGTTCCTTACGTTGTTGGTAAATGCGGTAATTTTTTCAAAGTGCCAACAATCGCACCAAGTATCATCACGAAGGAGTAAATGATACACGGAGTACGATTATTTGTCGGAAACATTTAGCGCCATCTACTGTACGTTAAAAAAATGTGTGCGTGTACTAGTGTACACACGTAAGAAGTGAAACTTATTTATGGCCTTATTTTTCGAAAAATGATCTACATGCAACTTTCTAGAAATTGGTTAAATAAAGTTAAATTAGATAAAGTTTAAACAAAAGGATTTTATTATCATAGACATGAATACAAAAAAGTTAAATTAGATAAAGTTTAAACAAAAGNCGAACCGGGTTATGTCGGACTCCGGCGCCTCCTGAGAGGAAGAGGGGGACGAGAAGGTCCTCCACCTCCCCGAATCCCTCGCAAGAGACTACGCCTTGAAAAAGGCGCGCGAAGCACTTGCCCCGCAGAACGACTACCGACTAAACCCCATCGAGCTCCACCACACCGGCTACACCAGACCTACGGTACCGCAGTGCGCGCCGAAAGCCCGCCTTCGCCGGTACCCGTCCTGATGATAAGACGGGATTTCATCTCCGGGAAAATCCCGAAGGACGTCATTTCGGGAGATACACCGTGAGCGGCGCACAGGAGCCACCTTGCACCGCCCCACCACTGGACCGACAGTCGAGTACCGGGCGCCCCCGCACCCGCCACCTGATAGTCCCTACGGGGGCTGAGCGGGAGCTTCACGCCCGCGCCGGCCATCCCGCCTTCTGCGCTGAGGTGCTGAAGAGGGATCCCACTCTCTTTCACGCTCCTCAGCCTCACGGGACGCCATTACCAGGTCACAAAACCTGGCCATGGCCTCCCATGAGCCCTGATCCTCTAACATGCGGGCGACGACAGCCCGGAGGGAGAGGTTTCTCCCCAGCACCGCGACGAGATCTCGCCGCGAGTGCTCCCAACGCGGGCACGTTTCGAGCGCGTGCTGCGCGTCATCGATACATTCCCGATCCTGTGGAAAGAATGGAAAGCAGTCGACGTCGCCCCAAACACGTCATTTCGGATCCTTCCGATCCACTAACGGTGCTTTTAAGCACCTCAAGCACCGGCCACCGTTCTCGTCGAACCCGTCGCTTGCGACGAAGGGCTCGACGAGTAAATTAACTCACAGACACAGCCAACTGAGTTTCTCGCCGGATCTTCTCATTGGGTCGCGTTTCCGATCCGGTGGTAGATTCTGCGAAGCACTACTCTTGCTAGGGTCAGTGTTAGCAACTCTCCGGTTAGAGCCTCGTGAGCTCACCTACAAACGTTAGGGCGAAGCTGAAATAGCCTCTCAAGGCCATCAGCTTAGGTAGGAAAATAAAACACCATATGTCTCCACCATCCAACACCATATACTCGGCAGACTTTGCGCCGACAGACTTCTACTTTTTTTAATGTTTGGTCAACTTCTTGGCATGGAAAAAAATCAATACCCGAGAGACAGTACGAAATGCTTTTGAAGAGTTTGTTGGAACCCGTAAACCTGATTTCTTCAAGAAAGGAATTGATTGCGCTAGCCGAGATGCGTCGATACCGAAATATTTATTTACAAAATACTTTAACTTTCTGTATACTAAACGGTAATTAAATTAAAGATCTAAAGGCAAACAATTAAAGACCTGATTTTAGCAAACGAGCAAATATCAATGGAATTTTCATTAATTAAAAATAATAATTATAAACCAAATATTATTTAAAATCTGCGATCAAAATGTAAGTTAGACTTTTCAAAAATAGAATTTTATAATCAAATTTCCATGTTTCGATATATTGTAAATTTGAAGTAGCTCTGTTAAACTCTTATATAATACACAATATACACTTATTCATAAATGCTAGAGGTCCCGCAGTAGTCGAAATTCGACTATAATTAATTGGAATTGTAAGTTTGTACACTATTATGATTGTATTTTATACTTCTATAATCACAAATTTCGCCAAGACTACACTATAACAAATATTAACAAAGACAAACAATATTTATTCTATTCTCAATTTGACAACAAACGTCAAGAACAAAAGCTTGACAATAAATAGTATGCATGCGTGTGTGCGTCAAATACATGGTATGTAGTGTGTGTAATGTTTTCTTTATTGATTTAAAGTATCTTATATGTATTATTTAAAAAAAATATTAGCATCGTGCACTCCTTCTCTATATTCTCTATAAGTGTGGAAAATTTCATACTCCTCCGTCCGCGCAATTTTCGTAAAAAGGGATACAAAGTTTTTGCTTCTCGTATTAATATATAGATACATGACATTATAAAAAGTCAAAGATATGGTCTATTTTGCTAGATCAATTTGAATTTTGTTAATGTATACATCGCAACATAGCCACTGTATATTTTTCAGATTTTTTCTAAACAACAACGGTTGTTTGGACGGGATTGCTTTTAGTGGTAATACCGCCTATTGCTATACGCTATAGGGTTCCACAGCACCAGTGAACTATTAATACTATAACTAATTAGTATTAGTATACATGCTGAACTGATTGCTTAGTGCGAGCTTTCTAACTTTTCGATCGCGTTAAAGTTAACTCAAAATTGTATGGAATTGGAACAACGCCCCTAGCGGAAAACGAAGGGAAGCTATTCCAACTTCATACAAATTTGAATTAACTTTTTAGCGATCGAGAAGTTAAAAAACTCGCACTAAGGACACAGCTTCTTGCAGGGCAGAGTTAAAGGCTTCGTCAAACAGAACGCGTAATTAGCGTGCGTCAGAGCGCTACGCTATGACGCCGAGATGTGTTGTACTACTACGGTATCATACCGTCAAACAGATATAGATACAGCGCTATAAGCGCTATAGCGCTGGCGCTCTGTTAGTTATAGCGCGGCGTTAGTTTA